GTGTTTCCATCGAAGAAACGGATGTTCCAACAAACTATCAACAGAGGATCTCAGAGCAGGGTCTTTCTCCAAACAATTATAGATAAAATCCTTAGCTACATCAGACAATGAATCAGGGACATAAGGAAAAAAGTTGCTTTCACCGATCAGAGTAATCCAGTCTTCCCAATCAAGCTCGCCGTGCTCTCCCCAAACCCTTTCTCCAGTCAACATCTCAAGAACCGTACAACCAAAAGCCCACACATCAGCTCCATAGTCCAAAACCATGTCTCTTATAAGCTCAGGAGACATAAACCTCGTCGTGCCTCTCCTATGACCACATCCTTCGTTGTACTCAACCGACTCTGTCTCCATCGCTTTTCCAAAACCAGAGATCTTAGCCGCAAACCCATTAGCCCTAATTCTCTTATTCTCAGGCGCAAGTAAGATGTTCTTAGGTTTGATGTCGCAATGAATGATCTTCTCTCCATGGATGTACTTGAGACCAAGCAAGATATCAGTAGCGAGTCCCTTGACATCATTCTCTGGTAATCCTCTTCCTTCGTAGTTCTTGATGTGTTTCGCAAGGCATTGATTAGGACAGTACTCGAGTATCGTGTTGTAGTACATGGTTGTCGGATACTCGTTCTTCTCCTCTGTTATCTTGTGGCCGTAGCAAGTGACAACGAATGGGCTCTTGAGACCAAGTAAAATCCTTTCCTCGTTCATGATCTGTGATGATTCTGAGATTTCATTAGACTTTATGGCAATCTCGTATGGAAGATCGTCTTCGTCACCGTCGGTCGTGATCACGGCTGAGTAAACAGAGCCGTATGAGCCTTTTCCCAGATATTGAGTCACCATCCACCAACCGCTTTCTGGAATTCTTACATCGGTCGATGGTTTCTTCGTGGTCGAAGAATCGGCATCGTACTCTAAATATTTCGGCTTCTTGTGAGGATGGTTCGAGTCGTCCCATTGACCTAATCGACTGTTAGACATCGATCTCTTCATATTTCTCTCGCTCTAGATTTCTTTCTATCTCTTATCTGAATTGTGTGATAAAAAAACATGAGACAGAGAGAAAGAATGTATTTTATAAGATCCGTTTATAGTGACTACTTGGGACTCAAGTTTCCTTTTTCTCCTTCTCTTCCAAGTTTCCTTTTTCGCTTAAGTTTGGGAAAGTCCAGGCCCATTTTTGCCTATGTTGTCAAACTTGGGCTTACGGCCCATTTAAAACTAAAATTTGTAATTAAACGAATTATTAGAGATTGTACGCTTAGAAATGTTAATCCACGTGGGATAAGTTATACAGGTGTGATTATTCATGTGAAAATTTGTTAGTCTACTTTATTTTAGAATTTTCAAGAAGAAAAAAACATAAGACTTATTCTCTCATTCACTTTAGAAACTTAGATGTTAAAACAAGCACACACTTAGGCTGTTTTTGTGTTCATCGAAACAAAACTTATACAGTCGTTAAGCTTTTATTCTGTATTTATAACTATATTATGTAAACATATTTTTTTTGAATAAATCAAATCCTAAATTAACATGACGACCATGGCGATCTACTCTGTTTGAAACAGAGAGGAAACTGATCAGTTTCAAAGGAAGACACCTTAATTCTATCTGCATCCATGTTCCATATAGAATCCAATGAGCTTTCCAATGATGGAGAAGCCAGAGTTGGGTAGCTTAAACAATAGCTTTGTTCTGAGTATATGTCTTTAGCCGGTTTCATCATGTTAACTTCAGAGTGATCAATCTCTCTCCATATGTCATCCATCGAGTATCTGTCTTCTGTTTCTTGATTCATCTCCCCGGTGGATCCTCCAGTGTCGTAAAAGCTCACCTTCCCTGAAGAACATTTCCGCGGCTGGAACGATACATCTTGAGTATTGGTAGTGGTCATAGACGAAGAGCAGCAGTTGGAAAACGAGGAACTCGGAGACGCTGGACGCTTCTTCTCTTGAGCCTTCTTCCTCATATGAGTCCTCCAATAATTCTTTATCTCGTTATCTGTCCGTCCCGGCAATTTCCGGGCTATTTTTGACCACCTTGCATGATAGATAAGTAGATGAAAATTTTGAGTACAAAAGAGTATGAGATATTTGTAACCATCATATATATATATATTGTTTGTTTCTTAGAAGGATGAGACCTGTTTCCCCACTTTGCGTGAAGCTCAAGGACGAGGCGCTCTTCTTGAGGAGTCATCTTGCCGCGTTTGAGACCGGGATGAAGGTAATTAACCCACCTAAGCCTGCAACTCTTTCCTGTTCTGTTCAAACCTACAACCAAAACTAGCTCATTAATGGAGGCTCCTTACCTATTCTTATCTTTCTCCCTCCACCTTCAAACCTGATACTTTTGCTATAAAATCCCATCTTCGATCTCCAAATAATTGAACAAAATTTACCAGAAGTATGTCCTCATGTTCTGTCCATGGACCCTTTCGGTTTTCCTCCTGCATCACTTTAATCACTCTCTCTTTATCGTTATCTCTCTTGTTACTTGACAACTCTTTCTCAGCTTTGGTTCACCATGGCATACTCAGACCCACTATATATATATATAAGCTGAATTCTCAACACTTTGGTGTGTCTACGCGATATCACACTCACAATATTAAAAATCTAATGATTTACCTTTTTTCCAAATTTTATACTGACCATATGTTTGAAGGATTTTCCTATTGATAATGTAGGGTCTCTTTTTTTGTGATGTCACAAGCCCATTATATATATATAAAAAAAACAAAACTTGATCGTTAAGGGGTGATTGGTGTTACTGATGTAACACTCCCATTACTTCTGTCTTTTTATAATCTTTTTTGCTGTGAGTGTGTGTTTGATTATAAGAACTCTTTCTTATATTTTTTGGCAGGGCACTATATCTCGTATGTGGATATCAACAGCATCAGAAAAATCTCCATATGTTTTTCTATAGCTCCCTGTTCATTAGACCATAAATGGTGGTGTACAATTTTGAAATAAACATAGAGAGACCCTTGACCTTTCTTTCTTCGCCTTTTCGGTGGGGATATGAGAGTATTTGTGTCTCTTGCCTTTATTAAGGGTTATATTAGTAGCAACTGTTAAAGCTTATAAAAGAAAAAGAGAGAATAAGAAATCGACAAAAATTTGGACAGCCTTAGAAATATAAAGAGTGAGATTAATATTGTTATGAGAGCCTGATAAGTGAGTTTTTGTATCTAGTAGCAGCACCTGAGATAGGAATAGATATTATTCTAAGATCTTGAGCACGTTGATTTTTCCTCTTGGTCCTTCAGTTTAACGTTGTCCAAACACACACATTTTCACAAAATTATGCGTGTATATTGTTTCGCAAAAAACCAGCGGTAAGTTGGATCCTGAAACTTAGCTAGAACCATATATATGATCTTAAGTTTTTATTTTGTGTTTCAGGTTCTAACTCTGGTAATTGGAATAAACATGAGTCTTGTTCCTTCATTTTACTTCTTCTCCTTATCATTTCGGGGCTTTGGTTAATACATATTATAGGGTAAACAAACATATATTGATAAAAGAGGTGATTGATGTACTGACGTAACACACCCATTAGTTTTGTCTATATATTTTTGGTGGGTGTGTGTGGTAATAAGAACTCTTTCTTATATTTCTTTTAGCAGGCTCCATATTTGAAAGTGCACTATCTCGTATGTCATTATCAATAGTTCAATCCAAAAACGGAAAAGGTATGTCTTACTAAATTTCACTGTTATTTTAAGCCAGAGGAAAAAGTACAAAAGGTGTTTAACAATAAATAATGGATCTAAGAAGGGCCTAGACCATAGTAGTGTGTCCCTTGACTTTGTTCAAGTTTATGTTATGGTTTTAAATGGTAACAGAGGAATTTTGCGGAATTGCATAATCTTGCGGAATTTTTGATGACTTTGCGGAATCCAGCGGAATAATGTTGAATTCAAATGGTAACTGCTGAATCTTGCGGAATGTTGCAGAATTTTTAAAAGTAATTTTGAGAAATACCACTTTTGAAGTGTCACTTTTCAAAAATGCTACACTTTCAAAATCTTTGCAAAAATACAACTTTTTCAAAATTACTTATTGATTATACTATTTATGTTTGGATTAACTATGTTGTATTAGAGTTTAGGGTTAGTTAGGGTCAAAACATTTTTTAGGG